CGCCCGACAAGGCTGGGGGGTGGTCCCAGGGGTCACCTGCGGGGATTTTGGGGGTCAATCCCGGGGGTCTCACCCTGTGATGGTTTGGGGAGGTCTGGGGTCAATCCGGGGGTCTCACCCCCATTATTCCCCAGGCGGGCCCGGGGGCAGCGGCCGCCCGACAAGGCTGGGGTGGTCCCATCACAGGGTCCCCGGTGATGGTTTCGGGGGTCCAGTCTCGGGGGTCATCTAGTCTCTCCATCTCCCAGGCGGGCCCGGGGGCAGCGGCCGCCCGACAAGGGTGGGGGGTGGTCCCAGGGCCGTAGGGCCGGCGCCCCAGGGCAGGAACTCGCTGGAGGGCCGAGGGCCCCCACGTGGGCAATTACCGCCTGCTGAGGACCATCGGCAAGGAGCAACTTCGCCAAGGTCAAGCTGGCGGCACGTCCTCACCGGCAGGGAGGTGAGGGGGCACTGGGGGGAGCTGACTGGGGGGGCACTGGGAGGGGGGCTGGGGGCACTGGGAGGGGCTGGGGGGGCACTGGGAGGGGCTCGGGGGCACTGGGGGGCACTGGGAGGGCTCAGGGGTGAAGGGAGCCCCAGGAGGGAGCTGGGTGGGTTTTGAGGGGCTGGGGGTCCCAGGGGAAGTTTAGGGGTGCTGGGGGGTGATGGGAGGGGCTCAGGGGCAATTTGGGGTGTTGGGAGGGCTCAGGGGTAGTTTGGGCAGTGAGGAGGGGGCTCAGGGGCAATTTGGGGGTGTTGGGAGGGGCTGGGGGGCAATGGGGGCAGTGGGAGGAGGCTCAGGGGTCAATTTGGGGTGTTGGGAGGGGGCTCAGGGGTAGTTTGGGGTGATGGGAGGGGCTCAGGAGATAATTTGGGGTGTTAGGGAGGGCTGGGGCAGAATGGGGCAATTTGGGGCAGAGGAGGGACATCTTAGGGCAAATGGGGGCAGTTGGGGGCAGACATGGGTCATTTGGGGGTCAGAAATGGGGCATTTGGGGGTGTGGGAGGGGTCTGGGGCAGAAATGGGACATTTTGGGGCAGAAATGGGGCATTTTGGGGGCAGAAGTGGGGTATTTGGGGGCAGAAATGGGGTATTTGGGGGCAGAAATGGGGCATTTGGGGGCAGAAATGGGGCATTTGGGGCAGAAATGGGGCATTTTGAGGCAGAAGTGGGGCATTTGGGGGCAGAAATGGGGCATTTGGGGGCAGAAGTGGGGCATTTTGGGGGCAGAAATGGGGCATTTGGGGGCCCAAGGGGAGGTTGGTGGGGGTCCTGGGGGCAATTGGGGGTCCTGAAGAGTCCTGGGGGAAATTGGGGATCCTGGAACTGAGAGAGGGGTGTGGGAGTCACCTGAACCCCCAAGCCCCCAGTAATCCTCCAAAACCCCCATCCCCCATCTCCCCCAGGTCGCCATAAAAATCATCGACAAGACCCAGCTCAACCCCACGAGCCTCCAGAAGGTGGGGGGTCCCTGGGGGCTGGGGGTCCCAGGAGGTGTGTGGGGTCTCCCTTGGCTCTGGGGGTGGGGGTCCTGCCTCCCTCCCCACTGACACTGCCCTCCTCCCTCCATCCCCCAGCTGTTTCGGGAGGTTCGGATCATGAAGGGGCTCAACCACCCCAATATCGGTGAGTGGGGGGCTCTGGGGGGCTCTAGGGGGCTCTGGGGGGGATGCTCTGGGGGCTCAGGGGGTCTGGGTGACCCCATGTGTCCCCCAGTGAAGCTGTTTGAGGTGATCGAGACCGAGAAGACCCTGTACCTGGTCATGGAGCACGCGAGTGCAGGTGAGACCCCCGGGCCACCTGGGACCACCCTGAGACCCTTAGGGCATCCTGACCCCCCAAAGACCACCCTGAGACCCCTGGGGCACCCTGACCCCCAAAGACTACCCTGACCCCCCCCGGGCAACCTGGGACCACCCTGAGACCCCCGGGCAACCTGGACCACCCTGAGACCCCCAGGGCACCCTGACTCCCCAAGACCACCCTGACCCCCCCTAGGGCAACCTGGGACCACCCTGAGACCCCTGGGGTGACCTGGGACCACCCTGACACCCCCGGGCAACCTGACCCCCCTTAGGGCATTCTGACCCCCCCGGGGCAACCTGGGACCACCCTGAGACCCTGGGGTGACCTGGGACCACCCTGAGACCCCTGGGCAACCCTGACCCCCAGGGCAACCTGGGACCACCCTGAGACCCCCGGGGTGACCTGGGACCACCCTGAGACCCCTGGGGCAGCCTGACCCCCAAAGACCACCCTGACCCCCCGGGCAACCTGGGACCACCCTGAGCCCCCAGGCACCTCTGACCCCCAAAGACCACCCTGGCCCCTTAGGGCATCCTGGACCCCCAGGGCAGCCTGGGACCACCCTGACCCCCCCGCCAGAGACCACCCTGACCCCCCCAGGGCAACCTGGGACCACCCTGAGCCCCCTTAGGGCATCCTGACCCCCACCAAAGACCACCTGACCCCCCCACCCCAAGACAGGCACAGGGGTGTTTTTGGGGTGGAGTGTGCAATTGAGGGGTATTGTAAAGTCAGGGGGTGCTGAAGTCAGGGTGTTTGGGGTGGGGATGTATTGGGGAGTTTATTGTGGGGTCAGGGGGTTGTTGTGGGGTCAGGGGTGCTTTGGGGTCACCCCAGGTGTGTGTGTCCCCCCAGGTGAGGTGTTTGATTACCTGGTGTCCCACGGGAGGATGAAGGAGAAGGAGGCCCGGGCCAAGTTCAGACAGGTGGGGGCTTGGGGGCTTGGGGATGTCCCTGGGGGCTTGGGGACATCGGGAGGGCTTGGGGACATTGGGGAGGGTGTGGGGACATTGGGGAGGGGCTTGGGGACATTGGGAGGGGTTTAGGGACATTGGAGAGGGGCTTGGGGACATTGGGGAGGGGTTTGGGGACATTGGAGAGGGGCTTGGGGACATTGGGGAGGGGCTTGGGGACATTGGGGTGGGGTCATTGGAGAGGGCACTGGGGATGCTGTGGGGTGGGTTGGGGGCAGTTTGGGGTGGCTGTGGGGCTGTTGTGGGGTCAGGGACACTGTGGGGTGGGTTGGGGGCAGTTTGGGGTGGCTGTGGGGCCGTTGTGGGGTCGGTGGCGGCTGTGGGGTGGGTTGGGGGCAGTCTCTGGGAGGTGGCTGTGGGGCCGTTGTGGGGTCGGTGACGGCTGTGGGGTGGGTTGGGGGCAGTTTGGGGTGGCTGTGGGGAGGGTTGGGGACTCTCTGGGGTGGCTGTGGGGCCGTTGTGGGATCAGTGACACTGTGGGGTGGGCTGGGGACTCTCTGGGGGTGGCTGTGGGGCCGTTGTGGGGTCGGTGACGCTGTGGGGTGGGTTGGGGACAGTTTGGGGTGGCTGTGGGGTGGGCTTGAGGGACTCTCTGGGGTGGCTGTGGGGGGCCGTGGGGGGTCGGTGACGCTGTGGGGTGGGTTGGGGACTCTCTGGGGCTGGAGCGATGTGGGGCCGTTGCTGGGGTCGGTGGCGGACGCTGTGGGGTGGGTTGGGGGCAGTTTGGGGTGGCTGTGGGGCCATGGGGTGGCGGTCGGGGTGACGCTGTGGGGTGGGTTGGGGACAGTTTGGGGTGGCTGTGGGGCCGTTGTGGGGTCGGTGACGCTGTGGGGAGGGTTGGGGACTCTCTGGGGTGGCCGTGGGGCCGTTGTGGGGTCGGTGACAGCGTCCCCTGTCCCCAGATCGTGTCGGCCGTCCATTACTGCCACCAGAAGAACATCGTGCACAGGGACCTCAAGGTGGGGCGTGGGGGGGGTGACGTGTCCCAGTGTCCCCATCCCAGTGTCCCCATCCCAGTGTCCCCATGGTGTCCCTTTGTCTGTCCCAGTGTCCCCATGTCCCCTGTGTCCCCATGTCTGTCTTGGTGTCCCTTTGTGTGTCCCAGTGTCCCCATCCCAGTGTCCCCATGGTGTCCCTTTGTCTGTCCCAGTGTCCCCATGGTGGCTTTTTGTCTGTCCCAGTGTCCTTGTCCCTGTCCTGGTGTCCCTTTGTGTGTCCCAGTGTCCCCATGTCCCCCATGTCCCCCCCAGGCCGAGAACCTGCTGCTGGACGCTGATACCAACATCGAGATCCCTGTCCCTGTGTCCCAATGTCCCTGTGTCCCAATGTCCCTGTCCCTTTAGCAGTGTCCCTGTTTCTGTGTCCCTGTCACTTTGCTGATGTCCCCATCCCAGTTCTGGTGTCCCCATCCCAGTGCTGACCCCCCCATGTCCCCCCAGGCCAAGAACCTGCTGCTGGACACCGACACCAACATTGAGATCCCTGTCCTTGTGTCCCAATGTCCCTGTCCCTGTGTCCCTGTCCCTGTGTCATTATCCCATTGCTGGTGTCCCTGTCCCTTTTTCAGTGTCCCTGTCCCTGTGCTGACCCCCCCATGTCCCCCCAGGCTGAGAACCTGCTGCTGGACACTGACACCAACATCGAGATCCCTGTCCCAATGTCCCTGTCCCTTTAGCAGTGCCCCAGTGCTGACATCCCTGTCCCTGTGTCCCTGTCCCTTTGCTGATGTCCCTGTCCCTTTGCTGATGTCCCTGTCCCTTTGCTGACCCCCCCGTGTCCCCCCAGGCCCAGAACCTGCTGCTGGACGCTGATACCAACATTGAGATCCCTGTGCCTGTGTCCCAATGTCCCTGTCCCTTTGCTGATGTCCCCATCCCAGTGCTGACCCCCCCATGTCCCCCCCAGGCCGAGAACCTTCTGCTGGACGCCGACGCCAACGTCGAGATCCCTGTCCCTGTGTCCCTGTCCCTTTGCTGATGTCCCTGTCCCTTTACTGATGTCCCTGTCCCTTTGCTGATGTCCCTGTCCCTTTGCTGATGTCCCTGTCCCTTTGCTGACCCCCCCCATGTCCCCCCAGGCCGAGAACCTGCTGCTGGACGCCGACGCCAACATCAAGATCCCTGTCCCTGTGTCCCAATGTCCCTGTCCCTTTACTGATGTCCCTGTCCCTTTGCTGATGTCCCCATCCCAGTGCTGATGTCCCCATGTCCCCCCCAGGCCGAGAACCTGCTGCTGGACACTGACACCAACATCGAGATCCCTGTCCCTGTGTCCCTGTCCCTTTGCTGATGTCCCTGTCCCTTTACTGATGTCCCTGTCCCTTTGCTGATGTCCCTGTCCCTTTGCTGATGTCCCCATCCCAGTGCTGATGTCCCCATGTCCCCCCCAGGCCGAGAACCTGCTGCTGGACACTGACACCAACATCAAGATCCCTGTCCCTGTGTCCCTGTCCCTTTGCTGATGTCCCTGTCGCTTTAGTGGTGTCCCCATCCCAGTGCTGACCCCCCCATGTCCCCCCCAGGCCGAGAACCTGGTGCTGGACGCTGATACCAACATCGAGATCCCTGTCCCTGTGTCCCTGTCCCTTTGCTGGTGTCCCTGTCACTTTAGTGGTGTCCCTGTCCCTGTGTCCCTGTCACTTTAGTGGTGTCCCTGTCCCTCTGCTGATGTCCCTGTCCCTCTGTTGGTGTCCCCCCAGGCCGAGAACCTGCTGCTGGACGCCGACGCCAACATCAAGATCGCGGATTTCGGGTTCAGCAACGAGTTCTCGCGGGGGTCGAAGCTGGACACGTTCTGCGGGTCCCCCCCCTACGCCGCCCCCGAGCTCTTCCAGGGCAAGAAGTACGACGGGCCCGAGGTGGACATCTGGAGCCTGGGGGTCATCCTGTACACGCTGGTCAGCGGCTCCCTGCCCTTTGATGGGCACAACCTCAAGGTGACTGTCACCTCCTGTCACCTGGTGTCACCTCCTGTCACCCCCTGTCACCTCCTGTCATCCCTGTGTCACCCCCTGTCCCCTGGGGGTCATCCCCTGTGTCCATGGGGGTCATCCCCTGTGTCCCCTGGGGGTCATCCTGTACACGCTGGTCAGCGGCTCCCTGCCCTTCGATGGGCACAACCTCAAGGTGACACCCCTGGTCACCCCCTGTCACCCCCTGTCATCCCCTGTCATCCCCTGTCATCTCCTGTCACCCCTGTGTCACCCCCTGTCATCCCTGACCTCCTCCTGGGGGTCATCCTGTACCCCTGGTCAGCGGCTCCCTGCCCTTCGATGGGCACAACCTCAAGGTGACTGTCACCTGGTGTCACCTCCTGTCACCCCCTGTCACCCCCTGTCACCCCTGTCCCCTGGGGGTCACCCCCTGTGTCCCCTGGGGGTCATCCTGTACACGCTGGTCAGCGGCTCCCTGCCCTTTGATGGGCACAACCTCAAGGTGATTGTCACTGGTGTCACCTCCTGTCACCCCTGTGTCACCCCTGTGTCACCCTGTGTCACCCACTGTCACTCCCTGACCTCCTCCTGGGGGTCATCCTGTACACGCTGGTCAGCGGCTCCCTGCCCTTTGATGGGCACAACCTCAAGGTGACTGTCACCTGGTGTCACCCCTGTCACCCCTGTGTCACCCTGTGACCCCCCCTGACCCCTGTGACCCCCCCCAGACCCTGGGTGACCCCCCAGACCCTGGGTGACCCCCTGACCCTGGGTGACCCCTGGGTGACCCCTGACCCCCTGGCCCCCAGGAGCTGCGGAAGCGGGTGCTGAGGGGAAGTACCGAGTGCCCTTTACACATCCCACCCCCACAAACTCCTTTGTGCCCCCACCTGAGCCCCCAGACCCTGGGTGACCCCCAGACCCTGGGTGACCCCCTGACCCCCTGACCCCCCTGGCCCCCAGGAGCTGCGGGAGCGGGTGCTGAGGGGAAGTACCGGGTGCCCTTTACACATCCCACCCCCACAAATTCCTTTGTGCCCCCACCCTGACCCCCTGAGCCTGGGTGACCCCTGGGTGACCCCTGACCCCCTGGCCCCCAGGAGCTGCGGGAGCGGGTGCTGAGGGGAAGTACCGGTGCCCTTTACACATCCCACCCCCACAAATTCTTTGTGCCCCCACCCTGACCCCCTGACCCTGGGTGACCCCTGGGTGACCCCTGTGACCCCCCCTGGCCCCCCAGGAGCTGCGGGAGCGGGTGCTGAGGGGGAAGTACCGGGTGCCCTTTTACACATCCCACCCCCACAAATTCCTTTGTGCCCCCCACCCTGACCCCCCCTGACCCTGGGTGACCCCTGGGTGACCCTGTGACTCCCCTGCCCCAGGAGCTGCGGGAGCGGGTGCTGAGGGGAAGTACCGGGTGCCCTTTTACATGTCCACGGACTGCGAGAACATCCTGCGCCGCTTCCTGGTGCTCAACCCGGCCAGCGCTGCACCCTCGAGGTCTGGGGGGCCTGGGGGGCTGCACGAGGGGTGGGAGGCCCTACAGGGGGTCTGGGGGTCCTGGGAGAGTCCTACAGGTGGTCCGAGGGGTCCTACAAGGGGTCATGGGGGTTGTGGGAGGTCCTGGGGGGGTCTGGGGGATCCCATGGAGGGACTGGGGGGTCTTGGGGGTTGCTGAGGGGGTCTAGGGAGTCCCATGGGGCACCCTCGGGGTCTGGGGGGGAGGTCCCACATCCCCCCGTGTGTCCCCCGCTCCCAGCAAATCATGAAGGACAAGTGGATCAACATCGGGTACGAGGGGGACGAGCTGACGCCCTACACGGAGCCCCAGGAGGACTTTGGGGACACCAAACGCATCGGTGAGGCACCCTGGGGACCCTGGGGACGTCGGGGACGCCCCTGGGGGCGCTGGGGACACGCTGCCACCCCTCTGTGTGTGTGTGTGTGTCCCAGAGGTGATGGTGGGAATGGGATACACCCGGGAGGAGATCAAGGAGGCCCTGAGCACCCACAAGTACAACGAGGTGACGGCCACCTACCTGCTGCTGGGACGGAGGGGAGAGGTGAGGGGACATTGGGGACACTGGGGACACCCAGGGACACTGGGGGGGACACCCAGGGACATGGGGGGGACACACACAGCCACCTACCTGCTGCTGGGACGGAGGGGAGAGGTGAGGGGACATTGGGGACATTGGGGACACCCAGGGGACAATGGGGACACTGAGGGGACACTGCTGACAGCCCGAGGGTGGCAGTGGCCTGTCCCTGTCCCTGGGCTGACCCTGGTGACCCTGGGTGACCCTGGTGACAGCCCGAGGGTGGCAGTGGCCTGTCCCTGTCCCTGGGGTGACCCTGGGTGACACTGGGTGACTCTGGTGACCCTGGTGACAGCCCGAGGGTGGCAGTGGCCTGTCCCTGTCCCTGTCCCTGGGCTGACCCTGGTGACCCTGGGTGACCCTGGTGACCCTGGTGACCCTGGTGACAGCCCGAGGGTGGCAGTGGCCTGTCCCTGTCCCTGGGCTGACCTTGGTGACCCTGGTGACACTGTGTGACCCTGGTGACAGCCCGAGGGTGGCAGTGGCCTGTCCCTGTCCCTGGGCTGACCCTGGTGACACTGGGTGACCCTGGTGACCCATGGTGACATCATTGGTGACAGCCCGAGGGTGGCAGTGGCCTGTCCCTGTCCCTGGGCTGACCCTGGTGACCCTGGGTGACACTGGTGACCCTGGGTGACACTGGGTGACCCTGGGTGACCCTGGTGACCCTGGTGACCCTGGTGACAGCCCGAGGGTGGCAGTGGCCTGTCCCTGTCCCTGGGCTGACCCTGGTGACACTGGGTGACCCTGGGTGACCCTGGGTGACATCACTGGTGACAGCCCGAGGGTGGCAGTGGCCTGTCCCTGTCCCTGGGCTGACCCTGGTGACCCTGGTGACCCTGGGTGACACTGGTGACCCTGGTGACAGCCCGAGGGTGGCAGTGGCCTGTCCCTGTCCCGGCCCCGGGGCTCGGCCGAGGCCCCCAACGGTGGCACCAAGGGCACGTCGGGGACGTCGGGGACGTCGGGGACGCACGGGAAGGGGCAGCGCGGGGGGGGCCACCACCGACAGCGGCGCCACAGCGACTTCTGTGAGTGACAGTGGGGACATTGGGGACATGGGGGGACATTGGGGACACAGGGGGGGCCACCACCGACAGCGGTGCCACAGCGACTTCTGTGAGTGACAGTGGGGACATTGGGGGGACATTGGGGACATGGGGGGGCCACCACCGACAGCGGCGCCACAGCGACTTCTGTGAGTGACAGTGGGGACATTGGGGACATGGGGGGACATTGGGGACGTGGGGGACATTGGGGACACAGGGGGCCACCACCGACAGCGGCGCCACAGCGACTTCTGTGAGTGACAGTGGGGACATTGGGGGACATTGGGGACATCAGGGGACATTGGGGACATTGGGGGGCCACCACCGACAGCGGCGCCACAGCGACTTGTGTGAGTGACACTGGGGACATTGGGGACATTGGGGACGTCAGGGGGACATGGGGGGACATTGGGGGACACAGGGGCCACCACCGACAGCGGTGCCACAGCGACTTCTGTGGTGACAGTGGGGACATTGGGGGACATTGGGGGACATTGGGGACATGGGGGGACATTGGGGGCACAGCGACTTCTGTGAGTGACAGCGAGGACATTGGGGACATTAGGGGACATCAGGGGGACATTGGGGAGCACAGAGACTTCTGTGAGTGACAACGGGGGACATTGGGGGGACATTGGGGACATGGGGGACATTGGGAGCACAGCAGCTCCTGTGAGTGACATTTGGGGACAGTGGGGGGGACATGGAGGGACCAGGGGGACGTGGGACAGACAGGAGCACGTGGGGGCTTCTGTAGTGACATTTGGGGACAGTGGGGGGGTTGGGGGAGCGGGAACAGCGACTTCTCTGGGTGACATTTGGGGGGCACACTGGATTGGGGGTCAGGCCCCCTTGGCCCCTGACCCCCTCGTGTCCCCCAGGTGGCCCGCGCACCGGCCCCCAAGCGCAGCCCACCAGCGCCCGGCGCCGCGGAGCTGCGGGAGGGGGCGTGGGGAGGTCTCGGGAGCCCCCCGCAGGGAGCAGCGGGGCAGGGGGTCGCGGGGGTCGCCCCCTCCAGCCCCCTGGTGAGCAGCGCCCACAACCCCAACAAGGCAGAGATCCCGAGAGGCACCTGGACGGGGGCCGCGGTGAGGGGACATTGGGGGGTGGGGTTACCCTGGGGGCTTTGGGGCACCTGGGCGGGGTGGGGGAACAGGGGGGTTACCCTGGGGGCTTTGAGGGCACCTGGGTGCGGGGGCCGCGGTGAGGGGGCACAGGGAGGTGGGGGTTACCCTGGGGGCTTTGGGACACCTGGGTGGGGGGTCGTGGTGAGGGGGACAGGGGGGCACCAGGGGTGGGGGGTTACCCTGGGGGGCTTTGGGGCACCTGGATTGGTGGGGGAACAGGGGGTTACCTGGGGGCTTTAGGACACCTGGACGGGGTGAGGGGGAACAGGGGGGTTACCTGGGGGCTTTGGGGCACCTGGACGGGGGCCGCGGTGAGGGGGCACGGGGGGCTTTGGGGCACCTGGACAGGGGACCGCGGTGAGGGGGCACAGGGGGCTTTGGGGCACCTGGATTGGTGAGGGGGAACAGGGGGTTTCCTGGGGGCTTTAGGGCACCTGGGCCGGGGGCCGCGGTGAGGGGGCCATTGGGGGTGGGGGTTACCCTGGGGGCTTTGGGACACCTGGACGGGGTGGGGGACAGGGGGTTACCCTGGGGGGCTTTGGGGCACCTGGATGGGGTGGGGAACAGGGGGTTACCCTGGGGGGCTTTGGGGCACCTGGATTGGTGGGGGGAACAGGGGGTTACCCTGGGGGGCTTTGGGGCACCTGGACGGGGGACGCGGTGAGGGGGCACGGGGGGGCTTTGGGGCACCTGGACAGGGTGGGGGGGCACAGGGGGCTTTGGGGCACCTGGATTGGTGGGGGGAACAGGGGGTTACCCTGGGGGGCTTTGGGGCACCTGGGTGGGGTGGGGGGGAACAGGGGGTTACCCTGGGGGCTTTGGGGCACCTGGGTGGGGTGGGGGAATGGCGGGGTTACCCTGGGGGCTTTGGGGCACCTGGATTGGTGGGGGGGAACAGGGGGTTTCCCTGGGGGACTTTGGGGCACCTGGACGGGGGCCCGCGGTGAGAGAGGGGACAGGGGGGGCTTTGGGGCACCTGGGCGGGGTGGGGGGAACAGGGGGGCTTTGGGGGCACCTGGGGGTGGGTCCCTCTGGGTCTGGGGGGTTCTCTGGGGGGGCTGGGGTGTCTCTGTCCTTCCAGGGGTGTCTGGGGGTGGTTTGGGGTCCCGGGGTGTCTGTGGGGGTCCCCAGGGGTGTCCTGTGTGTCTGGGGTGGTTCAGGGGTCCCCGGGGTGTCTGTAGGGGTCCCAGGGGGTGTCTGTGGGGGTGTCTGGGGTGTCTGTGGGGGTCCCCAGGGGTGTCTGTGTGTCTGGGGTGGTTCAGGGGTCCCCGGGGTGTCTGTGGGGGTCCTGGGGGTCCCAGGGGTGTCTGTGGGGTCCCCGGGGGTGTCTGTGTGTCTGGGGTGGTTCAGGGGTCCCCGGGGTGTCTGTGGGGGTCCTGGGGGTCCCAGGGGTGTCTGTGGGGTCCCCGGGGGTGTCTGTGTGTCTGGGGTGGTTTGGGGGTCCCTGGGGTGTCTGTAGAGGGTCCCAGGGGGTGTGCTGTGGGGGTGTCTGGGGGTGTCTGTGAGGGTCCCAGGGGGTGTCTGGGGGTCCTGGGGGTGTCTGTGTGTCTGGGGCTGTCTGTGGGGGTCCTGGGGGGTCCCCAGGGTGTCTGTGGGGTCCCAGGGGTCTCTGTGTGTCTGGGGTGGTTTAGGGGTCCCGGGGTGTCTGTAGGGGTCCCAGGGTTGTCTGTGGGTCTGGGGTGGTTCGGGGGTCCCCAGGGTTGTCTGTGGGGTCCTGGGGGTGTCTGTGTGTCTGGGGCTGTCTGTGGGGGTTCTGGGGGTCCCTGGGGTGTCTGTGGGGGGTCCCTGGGGTGTCTGCGGGGTGTCTGTGGGGGTCCCAGGGGTGTCTGTGGGGGTCCCTGGGGTCCCGGGGGTGTCCTGTGTGTCTGTGGGGGGTCCCAGGGGTGTCTATGGGGGTCCTGGGGGTGTCTGGGGTGTCTGTGGGGG